CACCACCTCAGCAGCAGCAACCGCAGCCGCAGCTGATTGGCTCTCCGGTGATGCTGACTTCGCAGTCCAGCATGCCACTGCCAACCACCTCCTCGAAGCCCTCGCCACCAATGGGCAACGACTGGATGCGTATCAACTCTGGGCCTCCGCCAACCTCCCTCGCCTGCACGCCCCCCGGGAAGCCGGCGCCACCTCCCCCACCCAACTCCTACCTGCAAAATCCCAACCCCTCTCCAAGTAGGTTTCCGTTCTGCTCACGCCCTCTCTGCTCTGTGGTGGTCACGTTCTGCTTCGTGTTTTGTTTTTTGTCCCAATTTCCTCATCGCCATATAGGAGTCTCAAAGTAGGTGATGTTCTTGTATCAGTACTAAAGGGGACATGCAAGGCGTGATGGTCTAATACCACGTCTTTACTCAGCCTAACTCCGCCTCTCCCTCTCTCTGATGAAGTTCGGGATTAAGGGAGAGTGGGATTGTTTTTTATGTTATATTTACTCGATCGAATAAATTGGAGAGTTTATTAAACTGTTACACTTCACTCAGTTTAATGTCTTGGAGGATTGTCAACCTGTCAGCGAAGTGACGACCTTTCTGTTGTCTACTGGCATCTCTTAGCAAACTTTTTTGTTCACTGCCGGCAGTCTTTGGGGTGGAGTGGAACCGATAAAGACAAGAGAGACCGAAATGGTCATTTCTCGCTTATTAGTTGTCATCAGCCAACCCTGCCCAATGCCAGGTGTGGATCATCTGAGATTCGAACCTGCGACCCTTTGGTCATAGAGTGTAACACTCTCCCTTTGAACTACGGCACTGTTGTTTTTGTCAGGAATATTATGTTCGTAGGGTGATCTTAACGGTAGGTGGCGGGTTTGGATGCTGGCCTTACCTCCACCACTTAAACCAGTTGTATTGACTTTGGTGAATTTAGAAACACGGTTATTGTATTTCGTCCGCACATTCGTCTACGTGGCTAGTAAGAGCTTTGTTTGTTTTTGAAACCGACCCAGAAGTACTTTCTTAATGCACCCGTTTGACAGCATACGGTTTTATTTTACTGAAAAAGTGGTATCTTTCGATTACTCATAATTAGGCAATTACAAGAGGGTAGAGTAAACAAAGATTTAAGCATCCAGTCAACAGGGGAATGTTGTTTAGGAACCAAGGGGTCAGATTCTAGTCCAATAAAGGGGCCAGACGGGGGGGTCCGAAAATTAGTTCATGCCGCACCGTCGTCACTGTCTCACTTCGTAGTAGGAGGCATGAGGACTCATAGTGTCTGTGCCTCCCTCCGCTCAATCACGGGTTGCTATCAGATCGATCATCGTCATGCGGCTGGCCTCTGTCCTGCCCGTCGCCCCTCAACGCACCCTTAGACCAGCAGTTTTGGTGAACCTATTCGCAACCGGGCCATCCTAATCACCACCGTTGCCACGCTCCTGAACCCAGCCGCACCGTTCGGCCGTCTATTAGAGCTCTCCACAAGGAAGCTGTCTCCTGGTGTTTCTCGAATCTATCCGTTGATGACTCTGCCGTCGTGACAGGTTCCCATCGTTTTCACCAGAGAGCGGTTGTCGAAGTAAAACTAAGCTACCATCTCACGGTACTTTTGGGTGGCTATTCACCCCCATTGCGGCCTTGGAACAACAACTCCCGAGGGTCACTCGCTGTACCTTGACTCACCTATGCAGCGGCTACTCAATAGTCCTTCGCCAGTATCTACAGCGGCTCGTT